ACCAGGCCAGCGGCCCTCCCCAACAACCCGGCCTGTACCCCCGACCAGGCCAGCGGCCCTCCCCAACAACCCGGCCTGTACCCCCGACCAGGCCAGCGGCCCTCCCCAACAACCCGGCCTGTACCCCCGACCAGGCCAGCGGCCCTCCCCAACAACCCGGCCTGTACCCCCGACCAGGCCAGCGGCCCTCCCCAACAACCCGGCCTGTACCCCCGACCAGGCCAGCGGCCCTCCCCAACAACCCGGCCTGTACCCCCGACCAGGCCAGCGGCCCTCCCCAACAACCCGGCCTGTACCCCCGACCAGGCCAGCGGCCCTCCCCAACAACCCGGCCTGTACCCCCGACCAGGCCAGCGGCCCTCCCCAACAACCCGACCTGTAACCCCAACTACGCTAGCAACCCGACCTGTAACCCCGACCAGGTCAGCAACCCTCCCCAACAACCCGACCTGTACCCCCGACCAGGCCAGCGACCCGCCCACAGCAACTCAGACAGCAACCCGCCCACAACAACCCGACCTGTACCCCCGACCAGGCCAGCAACCCTCCCCAACAACCCGACCTGTACCCCCGACCAGGCCAGCGACCCACCCACAGCATCTCAGACAGCAACCCGCCCACAACAACCCGACCTGTAACCCCCAACCACGCTAGCAACTCGACCTGTAACCCCCAACCACGCTAGCAACCCAAGCTGTAACCCGCCCACAGCAACCATCCCCAACAACCCGACCTGTAACCCTGACCGCTCCCATAACAACCGAGCCAGCGACCCTCCCGTAACAAGCCAGTCTGCACAGCTCCCTCTGCCACAAGCAGGCCCGTAGCCCTGCTGTAACTGGCCTGCAGGTGCAGACAGCCGGGTCCCTCCCCAGTTCCGGGAGAGGAGCAGGGGCCAGGGCTCTCCTCCCAGGGACAGATGGGGATCGAAAGGGGGTGCCAGCATTTGGGGGTTTCCTTCCAGCACAGACTCTGTAGCATTGGGGTAGAAATGACTTTGCTGCCATGCGACTCAGTTTCCCTATGTATATAATGGGGCTAACTGGGCTTTCCCAGCCCTGCCCCTTGCTGGAGCCCCAGTGGTCTCTGATCTCTGCTGGCATGGCAGCAGCAAGGGCCACCTCTCCCGCTCAGATCCGGCCAAACACCTTTCCTCCAGTTACTGCCCCTTGCCAGGCACCAGCCAATGCAGGAAACCTGCCATGCCCTGCCCTGGCATAATTCCAGCTGCAGCCTCCCCCTTGCTGTGAATAGAACCCCTGACTCTCAGCCCCCCTGCTCTGACCACTAGACCCTACTCCCCACCCCAAGCCTGGACTTGAACCTACAAGCCCTGGGGCCCAGCTCTCTGCTCTGACCACTAGACCCTACTCCCCACCCGAAGCTGGGAATAGAGCCCAAAAGTCCTGGCTCCCAGCTCTGACCACTAGACCTTGGTCTCCTCCTGGGGTGGGGAAGGAATAGGTCCCTTTCACGCTCCTGTGGGCTGCCGATCCCTGAGCTGCCATTGTTTCCAGCCAGCTTCCAAACCAGCCCCCTCCCACACCCCGTCCCTGCAGCCCCTCTGCTGAGCCGGCTGCCCCCTTGGGCCACAGCCCCGGGCAGGCTCCACAGCCTGGCTGAGCATGTGGAGGAAAGAGGGTGCTGGCTCTGCTCCCCCCACTGCTGGGTGTGTGGAGGGGGAGGAGGCTGGGTGGCTGGAGGTTAGCCGCTGGCGTGCTCTGCTTCCCCAGGACGGCTGGCCGAGTTTGCACTGGGGGTGAAATGACAGGACCAGGCCTGTCTCCCGGCAGTGGCGGACCAGGACTGACCCCCCCCACTGAGCGAGCGGCTGGGGGGTGTCTGCATCTCTGAGGCCTGGGGTGTCTCCCCCACCTGGGATCTCTCTGTGCAGACAGCCAGCTGCCTGGGCCCTAGCAGCTTTATACAGCGAGCCATGCCTTATATAGAGCTGCCCGCTCCTGGGCCCGGCTACGAAAAATCCCCAAAGCCGACCATATATGGGCAGCCGGGCGCTGTGCACAGGGGCTGCCAGAAAGGTAGCTGAAGAATTCCAAGCGGGGGGAGCCCAGACAAGGGCTGGGGGTGCTGTCTGCCTTGTCATCGCTGGCCATGGACACTGGGGATAGCCCGGCTCTGGGGCAAGGCCCCTGGGAGGAGGAGCAGGGTGCCCCCCAGGACACGTGGGGGTCGCTGTGCAGCAGCAGCGGTGGCTGGACAGTAGCAAATCCGAGCCGTGGAGCGTGGGAGGTGCGCACTGAATCCTTGCCAGACCCTGGCTGGGTGCTGTCACAGCACCCAAAGGAGCCCAGCTCGGAGTTCCCCGCCTTCTGGCCCCAGGCAACGCGTCTCCCGGGGACAGCAGGGGTGTAGAGAGCTGTGGGGGAGCCCTGCTTTGTCTCAAGCAGCAAGAAACTAGCAGGTGACCCCAAAACCCTGAGCGCAGGGAGCCCCGCTTCCCCAGCACAGTCACAGAATGCCCCCCTTCAGCGGGAAGCCCCCTGGGGGGGGGGGAAGGGACACAGATCCACGTTAATTTCACCACTCGGTGAAAGAGGGAGAGGGGGTGGGTGTGTCTCTCTCCCCATGGCTTTGCTGCAGGGGCCTCACTTTCCCTCCCCACAGTTGTTGGCTGCTCCCCACCACAGAGGGCTCCCTCGGGGCAAGAAGCTCTCCAGGCATGTGCAGTACTGGAGGGGGGGGTCCCAGGTCTCCTGATCCCGCTCCCCAGTGACATCCAAGCGGAGGGGAGCCCAGAACTTCCTCAGGCTCCAGGAGGAAATGGCTCGTGCTCTAAGCTCAGGAGGCCTCAGGTGCCCTGTGCCCCTCACCCTGGGCTCCAGGCTGCCCTTTTCCGCCATGCTGTGATCGCAGACCGGAGGCTCACCCCCCACATGGCAGCATCAGAAAAAGCCACAAGCCTTCCTCAGCGCGATGGGCTGTTACCCCCATTTTACAGAAAGGGAAACTGAGGCACAAAAGGACAAGGCCATGGAGGGGAGTCCATGTGAGATCTGGGACTAGAACCCAGGAGTCCTGATGCCCAGCCTCTGCTCTAACCACTAGACCTCATGCCCAGAGCTGTAGCAGCACTTCCCTGACTGTCTCACCGTAGCTATGTCCCAGCTGAGCTCTGAGCGAGGGGCTGGGTGGGGGGAGGTAGGGGTTCCTGAGGGAGGGGGAAGGTGGGGGTCCTGAGCGAGGGGCCA